AGAGTGAGTGTGTGTGTGTGTGTGTGTGTGTGTGTGTGTGTGTGTGTATATAAACGACATAGCTACGGTGTGAAGGGCAGTGCCGCTGAGAGCCTGAGCGCGGCGCCACTGAGCCACGCTCACAAACATCACAAACACTTGTGTTCTGTAGTATTTTGCTTATTATCCACTGAACGTAAACAGCGTATGCTATTCTGTGTCAGCTGCGTCGTCTTCTATGTTGTTTACGCTTTGATTTGAACAAAAACAAGGTATCCGCATGACGCAGTATTGTGGTAATTGCATTGCTGTCTGTGGGAGGGTCAGAGAGCTGTCAGAATTAATCAAAAATATCTTAATTTGTGTTCCGAAGATGAACAGAGGTCTTACAGGTTTAGAACGACCATGAGTGAGTAATTAATGACAGAATTTTTATTTTTGGGTGAACTAACCCTTTTAGGATCAGGATCGGGGCCAATCAAGCATTTTTTTAACTGATCGTATCGGCTCTCCCAGGCCCGATTATGATCTTACATCAGCTGTCATGCTGGTGTTGTACTGTAGGAGGCGGTATGCGCCTTTAAAGGTGGGGTATGTATTTTTTTTTAAACGCTTTAGAAAACTGAGTCTGGCCACTGAGCCACGCTCACAAACATCACAAACACTTGTGTTCTGTAGTGTTTTGCTTATTATGGCATTGTTTCTAGTATAACTGTCTATACGTTCTTGAATCAAGATGCATTTACTTGACAAGTAAAATGACTTAAGAGCAGTGTTGGGGGTAACGCATTACAAGTAACGCGAGGTACGTAATCAGATTACTTTTTTCAAGTAGCTAGTAAAGTAATGCATTACTTTTAAATTTACAAGAGAATATCTGAGTTACTTTTTCAGATAAGTAACGCAAGATACTTTGTTTCCAATGTATTGACTGGCAGCTCTCCTGTCCTCATGGTGACAGAAATCAGAAGATGTTACTGTAGTTCTAAAATAAATATGAATATGCATTAATTCATCTCACTCACAAAAAACACAGATTCAGTATTCCTCAAAATGAATAAGCCCTGTCCAGATTTAAAAAGTAACGCAAAAGTAACGTAACGCATTACTTTCCATAAAAAGTAACTAAGTAACGTAATTAGTTACTTTTTTTATGGAGTAACGCAATATTGTAATGCATTACTTTTAAAAGTAACTTTCCCCGACACTGCTTAAGATGTTACGTCTTGTTTTCTTACCCCATCGGCAGATATGTTTGCTTGTTTTAAGCAAACAAAAAAAACTAAATTGAGATTTGTTTTAAAGTAAACAAGACCTATCTTAAGTCATTTTACTTGTCAAGTAAATTCATGTTGATTCACGGATTTTTACACGGTTATACTAGAAAACAAGACAAAAATACTAAGAATTATTTTTTTTTTTTTCATTGCGTTGGTTTTATGGCAGGAAAGTGTCTTTATTGACTAAGTTTAACGTTGTTCTAAGAGCTTTATTTAGTAAATAATTTTACATTTTGTAAAAACGTTACAGTAAAAAAAAATTGTTTCATTAAATCAAGCCAGTTTTTGTCTTCGTGTCTTGTTTATTTTGAACGACCAGACGCTTGCTGTTGTACACTGATCATCTGTATGGAATATGTTGTACTTGGTTGTGATTAAGAAAGTGCTTGTTTTAACTTCATGACTGTGACGATGGCTTCCTCTCACCATCGACCCGCTCCTCCTGTGGGACCTTCTCTCGCCTCAGCACAGTAAGTCCTCAGCATCACGGTGTATTCTAATCAAGGCTCATAGCACGCACATGTGTGGTTGTTACAGGCTTTGTGTGTCATGTTATTCCAGCACTTCTGGGGTCCGGTGGCAAACTGGGGCCTGCCCATCGCTGCCATCAGCGACATGAAGAAGAGTCCAGAGATCATCAGCGGCAGAATGACCTTTGGTACGTGACAGAGCGGCAGCTTGCGCAACAGCCCGATACTGTGAGGTCAAAGGTCAACGGAGGTGTTTTCCCTCTTGTTTTCCCAGCTCTCACGTGCTACTCGCTGCTGTTCATGCGCTTCGCCTACAAGGTCCAGCCCAGAAACTGGCTTCTGTTCGCCTGCCACTTCACCAATGAAGCGGCTCAGCTCGTTCAGGGCAGCAGACTCATCAAATACAAGCAAGAGCTTTCACACCTCATTCTGATTTCTAGTGTTATCTGGTCTATGTGTTCAGGCTAGTCTGAGTATTATAAGGTCTGTTTCTCATTGTCTTCCTTAGCATGGAGAAGAAGATGGCCAAGTGATGAAGGTTAATGTGCACAGCGCTCACGATCAAGCTTCTTAGGAGATCCGCCAACCTGATCTGTTTCGACACAATAAATAACCGTTCATAAACATAGATGATTGATTTTATGCTGTTTCCTCACTGCAACACATGTAACATTTTAAGCCTGGTTGTGACGCAGCTTTGAAGGTTACGGTTTGTATGTAATGTAGAAATACTTGATTAATATATTTCCATACGTAATACGATCAGTGTGTGTGTTAAAAATGAGTACGGAGAAAAAATAAAACACGTAATAATGCTTTTGCTCTTTTGACTATATTTATCCATCTCTCTATCTTATCTGTTCTTCACACAAAGCTATCAGAGACCTTCAGAAGACATTGCATAACATGTATGCTGTTGTCATAATCGAGATAATTCGATTCAAGTGGAAAATGGTCAACGACATGTAATCCAGTAAAGAAATGGAGCTTTTAGAAAAAACATGAGGGTGAATAAATGAAGTGAAATGTGCTTTCCACAGAAACCAGCTTGCCCAGACCACTTCGTTTCAGAACTTTTAATATTTGACAAACTAATACATTAACACGGAAATGACTAACTTGCAAGTAATCAAACGATAATACATTGTTCAGAGAATGCATATAAAAATGAAGTTTATTCAGTGCAAACTTCTACAGTAAACAAATCCCAGCTCCAGTTTCAGGCATGCTGTGTTGCTCTGGCTTCTTCTTCTTCTTCATGCATGAGAAATCATTCACTTCACCTGTAACTTCACTAACTAGGAGCGAAAGAATCAGCGTTTCACAAGTCGTCAGCAGTGACGGTAAGATTAACGGGATTCCCCAGGATCAATCCCTCCTCTTCGTCCTCCTGCGATGAACAAAAACATTGTAAAAACAATATGCTAATCCAAGTTTAAAGCAATGTAAAAATGCAGTCCACTTGGAAGGAAATGCTTCACACAGCACAAAAAGCACAGTTACTTGCCTCGTCTTTCTCTTTATAGTCTTTCTCTGTGCTTCTGTACGAGACCACATGGATGAGGGTGTATACTCTGTAATGGGAAACAACAGGGCTTTACGTTTACGGTGAATTTATAACAGCTAAGGGGGTTTTAGGCACTCCGCTTAATTGCTTTAGTAGATTGCTTGTTCAGGGGCCAATGTGGCAGTACGTGATGCGAGTTTTACCTGTGGTAAAGCATAGCCAAGAACTGGATGATGAGCAGAAGGGCGAAAGACAGCAGAAACATCAAACTCAAAGGCTCCACTCTCAAGGGGTCCGGTGCCAAAGTTCCGTTAGGAT